ATGAATGTGGTTGAAAGAGAGGGTTCAGCGACATCGCCATGTCATGAAAAGACAGTAATACTGAATTTGAGCAAAGCTATTTGCAGTCTGGCTGCATCTTATAAAAGGGATGCTAGATGAAAGAGGGTTTTCTTTTTCACAAGTACAGAACCCACTTAAACTCGAGAAACTGGTGCCCCTTTCTCTACAGTGCAGTCATAGTGTAGATTTCCTAGGCTTCTCTGAATGTGGTTTAATAGAATGCTTCAAATTATACCCCCTTAACTCAGGCTGAACTCTGCAGCAACCTCTCTGATTAGATGGAGGGATTTGTGCCAGCTGGATGGAAGCAGCTTTCACAACTCATGCATGCTCAAACAGGGTTGTTGTTGCCTGTGTCTAGTCACCTTCTTCCACGGCTTCTAAAAGGAGTACTGCTGGTTGTTCATGACTGTGCCAGTTTGTCACATTAAATCCCTGGAATCCAGACACAGCCATTTTTCTGTCTGTCTTTCTGTCTCTCTTTTTTCTCTCTTCGTCTCTGTTCCATTTGGTTCTGGTACAGGAAATTGGGTGGGGGAGTTTTTGGGAAGGTATCCAAGTAATTGCAGGAGTTGAAATGAACCATCAAACGGCCATCTCTCTTTTGTTTTGGAAACAGACATAAGGGAGGAAGGAAGTGAGCAGGCAAGTGCTAGAAAAGACAGTTGGGAGATAAATCTGTTTCTTTCCATGCTGTAACCATTAACCAGGAAAGCTGCCCAGTGTCCTAGTTTCAGGGAATTATTAACATTCTGGGCTTGTGGAGATGTAAAAGAAAAAAGAATTCTGCAGAGTCAAAGAAGAGTAGCTTAAGGCCCATCCTGATTCAGTAACTAAAACAGGGCCAAATTTTGGAAGGGAAACTTTTGAATATTAGCTTACCGTCATGACTGTCTACTAAGGAAAATTATTGGAAATGCAGGAATTGAAGGCTGGTTCACAGAGCCTTGTTGACGATTCTTATTTCGAATAAGTTTTATGGCATCAACTAGTATGATTTAGAAGAGCAACGGTGTTGATAGGTTTGCCACACACACCCAGATTGAAGCAGACATCTCAGCAACTGTGTAACTTCTTGCACATAATGGTAATGGATGTGGCCTGTGCCAAGCCTATTTGCACAGCCAGCCACAACGTGAGCATTCAGTGTGTACTGTGTGAAATGCCCACCTCTCCTCTCAGACTTCTGAAGAATCCTAAAAACTATTGAGATAAAAAAAACAGTTGTGGTAAACTGAGAACATTATAATCTAAATCCACTAAAACAGCGCAAACGAAACCAAAGGTGGATTTCCAAGGTCCAAAGACTTGCCTTAAATGGTAGGAAAGATTTGCAGTGTTTTCTTAAGTGTCAGCAATGCAATTAAGTCCAAAGAAAGGCTGAGTGATTTGATTCCTGCCCAAGGGTTGTGAGGTCACCAAGCTGTGTGAGGGCTCATCCAGAGAAGTAGAGAAACTTTCCCTCTGATGCTATTCAGGATCACAGGGTGTCCGTTTAGGGTTCTGACTCCCCTCCTCAAGCCATAGCTAGAGTGATGATTACGCCCACGTTTGACTCAAACACCCTCCATGTCAGCCCTTGTCCACCCAGTAATGTGGTAGCATGCTCATCCAGACCAGATGGAGAGTCTTGGAAGCATGGCATGCCATTAATAATAAGATGCCACTTCTGCTGCCTGCTCTCCTGGCATTTTGTGGGAACTCTTACTTGGGAGGGGCAAGGAGACAGAGGATGATTATGGCAGGAGAAGAAAGAGATTGTTTTGAATCTCCATTGGGTGTCTGACCATCTTTGGAGCAGTGGCTGCTGTGCAGCTGAGTTTTTAAGGCCTAGGCATTCAGGGGGAAATCTCCCCCAGTGCCTTAACCTCGGAGACCTTATTGCTGTTCCCAAAACGGGAAGGCGGCAGTGGAAGCAGCAATTCAAAGCAACTTGCCAGAGCTCATAATGCTGCTGCCAGGACTACAGTCCTCTTCCTTCTTGCCCTCCCTTCTCCAGTCAGCAGATGTGAGGCTCTCTAGGCAACATTGGAATGTCAGGCAATCTGTTGGGAATCCAAGTAGACCACAGTCCTTCTATCTTCTGTTAGATCAGGGTGGCAACAGTCATCGAGCAAAGAGTGAGTGACTCTTTAGGCAAGGAGTTCGTGTTTACATAGATTCTGTCAAGAAACTCCTGAGCTCCTTTAAAAAGATGATCAGTAGTGAAGGGTATCTGCTTGATCCTTTTTACTATTTGTATACCTACTGTTTTCAGTTTTCAATATTGTATTTTAATGATTTAAGCCACCTTGTGTCCTTCTTAAGCAGTTTTCAGTATTGTCTTTTATTGATTTAAGCCACCTTGTGTCCTTCTTAAGGAGAAAGGCAAGGTAAACATATTTTAAATAAAATAAAATAAATATACCAGCAAATCAATGTATGTAATTCTTATAAAGTATTTCACTGTTGATTTTATGATGGTAGTGCATCTGTGAGCATCTTTAAGTATACTAACTCTTCTGTTACTCTGCCTGTTTCTTCTCTTTTGTTGAATAAAAACATTGGAACCAGTAACATTTAAAAATGTTTTTTTAAGAAACCTTATTATTTAAGGGAGGAGAAGGAAAAATATGAAAAATTTCAAGGACAAGAAAAATAAGATACAGTACTCAAATGTCATGAGCATAACATTTTGCTATCAGGAAGCAGAATATGTAATATGAGCAATTATAATGAAAACTGAGTGTACATAAATATTATAAAATTTCTTAGCATCTGACTTCTAATTTGTACTGTAATGTACAGCAAAAGTTGATTCTATTCATGATTTCAAAATAATTTAAATAATATAAATATTTAAATAAGCTGTAAATGAACAGTCATGAAGGGCAAACGATCAGACAAGCAGCAGGTTACTTTAGGTTTAATTGCACTCAGCATGATTGTTTAATCATAATATTATTTTTTAAAAGATGCACAGCATCATCATGTACAACAGAAACTATTGCCACATCTATTCATATTCAATGAAAATGCAATATATGTGCATTTCAAAGAGTTATTGACCATCATAGTTTATTTACCCCATTTCTGGACGTCTGGGACCCAATGTGTTACCTGATCAAAGCCTTCTGCACTGTGACGAGTTATGTTGTAGTTCTACTTAAATTACAGTAAATATTATAGGTGAAAACAAAATAAAAATAAAGAGACAAAATGACAAAATGTGGAAGCAGTTTAAAGACTAACTTTTATAATTTTTTAATGTGAGCTTTCATGGACAAGTCCCTCTCATCAGAAATAAGAGAGGAGATATAACATGGCAGATATTTATACATTGTATCATCATTGTAGTTGGCTGGTAAGAAAGTAAGTGGGTGTTAAACATTACCAACAAACCACAACCTTGATGCCATGTATAAATATTTGCCATTTTATATCTCCTTCTCTTATGTTTGACGAAATTGACTTGTCCACGAAAACTCCCATTAAAAATATAAAAGTTAGTATTTATTTATTTATTTATTTATTTATTTATTTATTTATTTATTTATTTATTTATTTTATTTAACTTATATGCCGTCCACACTACCCAAAGGTCTCTGG